ATGTTAAGTTGTGTAAGTTCTTTGTATATTTTGGATATCAACCCCTTATCAGATACATTGTTTGCAAATACCTTCTCCCATTCAGTAGGTTGCCTTTCCATGTTTTTGGTGGTTTTCTTTGCTGTGTAAAAGCTTTTTAGTTCACTGCAGTCCCATTTGTTTTTTAAAAATATTTTTGCTTTTGTTATTCTTGCCTGAGGCTACATATCCAAACAAATACTAAGGCTGATGTCAAAGAGCTTTGTTGAGAGTTATCATAAATGGATGTTGAATTCTGTCAAATTCTTCTGCATCTACTGAGATGATTTTTATCCTTTGTTTTACTTATTAATTTTTTTTATTTTGGAGGGGAGGTAATTAGGTTTGTTTGTTTGTTTGTTTGTTTATATTTGGAGGAGGTACTGGGGATTGGACCCAGGACCTCATGCGTGCTAATAAGCATGCACTCTACCACTTGAGCTATACCCTCTCCCCTCTTTCAGTGTATTCTTGAATTTGGTTTATTGAGGATATATGCATCTGTGTTCATCAGGGATGGTGGCCTGTCATTTTCCCATTCCATTCACTCTTGAACCCACTCCAGCCTGCCTGCCCCTACCACACCCAGCCAGCTCTGGTCAGGGTCACCAGCGGCGACCACTCTGCCAAAGCCAGAGGTAAATTTTCAGTCCTCATCTTACTGAACCTGTGTGCTACAGATGCAGCTGACCACGCCCTTTTCCTTTGAATAGCTTCTTTTCTTGGCTTTGGGGTTACTATCCTAAATTTGTTCTCTCTTATCTCACACCGTTAGTTTATGGCCAGAAAACAATGCCCTGGCTACTGGGCGTGCCTTTGGTGTATTTTTAGAAACTCCGTTTGTAATTATTCACTGGGTATTTTATTTGTAGCCCACTTCTTTCTAAAAGGCTTTGAAGAAGCTCCTAACCCCCACGCAGACATACACTTACGTTGAACAAAACAGTAGCGGGACAATCTCTGGCTTGGGAGAAGAGGAGGAAGCTGGTGGGTGAGCCCCAAGGGGTGAGGTGGCCCCCCGGGATCGCGTGCCTGGCGCTCTCTGCCACCCACGCCTGGATCTTGGGAGGTGGTCCACCCCCACTGCTGCCCCACTTTGCTGGATCACTCCTCATTTTTTCTCTTTAGTGATCTCCCCGTGTTTTTGATTGAAAAATCTAAGTAACTGATTCTAGGTACTTGGATGGCAGGAAGAAGTCAATAAATATTTTATTGAGTAAGTGAATGGCATACAGTTCTCCTTGCTGGAGAGGAAGAAGCCAGTCAGTTGTTTGTGGAAACCTTGATTTGTTTGCCGTTTTTCTGGCTCTCTTTGAGATTCACGTAGGCAGTTACATCAGGAATGTTGAGTGGTGTCCCTTATCTCGCCCTCAGGTAAACTTGGGAAAAACTTCAGACCCAGGGTTTGTGTGGCCCTTCCTTGCAGAGGGAAAGTTGAAGGCCTGGCACTGCAGGGCAGGGAGGTTTGTAAGGGGGAAGGGGGCGTTTCAGAGTCCCCAGCACACACAGTCTGGGCACATAGACTGTCACCTGACCTGATCCCAGAAGGAAACTAAGGACCCTTAGGGCATGTGCAGAACATCCCCTCAAAGTTACTGCTTCCAGGATAGAAGCCGGTATACATGCAGGTGGTGGTTTGGTTTGAAGTTATATAATATAGTAGTAAAAAGCAGGGGCCTTGCATAGAATTACACATAAATATATACCAAAAAAAGTATATGCAAACATGGATGAATCCTTGTAATTTCTGTAGACTTGTTAAGTGTATTGTGCCTGTATCAGTGTCCTGGTTTTAATGGAGTATTATAGTTCTGTAAAATGCCACTGTTGGGAGACGCTAGAGTAATGGATACAGAAGCCCTCTCTTGTACTATATTTGCAACTTCTAATGAGTCTGCAATTCAAAATAAAGGGTGTTTTTTTGTGGTGGTGGTTTTTTTTTAAAGCAGGGACACTGACAACAGAGCTGACTTCAATCTCACTACCCTGTGCTGAGTGGTGACTTTTCTCTTAGCCCTTATCCCGACTGGTAACTACATCTTGTTCTTTGCTTTTCTTCTCTCGGGAATATAAACTCCTGGAAAGCAGAAGCCTAGCCAGTGTCGTGAAACAATAAAAAGAAATAAGAAATATAAGGATTGGAGAGAAAGAAAAAAAAAAAGAAAAACTCATCATTCATCGCCAAGAGCAAAGAAAAATCTAAGACAGACAAATGATTAGCATTGTAGTGTTCAGCAAGGTTGCTCACCATATAAGATAATTACAAAAGTCATTTCCATTTCTGTACATAAGCAATAAAGTTTGCAAATATAATTTTTAAAACTTACTACATATGACCTACATCGAACAAAATTCTGAACAAGAAAGCTGTAAATAAAGGCCACGGTTTCTCAACCCCTGTGCTGTTGACATCAGGGCGCAGTAGACCTGTGTCCTGGGGGGCTGTCCTGGTCATACGCACCAGCTGCCGGCAGCACCCACCCACCTGACGATCAAAAACCTCTCCAGGCTTTATCAAATGCCTCTGGAGGCAAAAATGTTGCAAAGTGGAAAACCACCTCTTTATGCAAATAGAGGCAAATGTCTTTATTGCCCACCTTTTTCAACTTAAAAGTAGCAATCTCTATACCTGGCTCCTCTTCCTGGGATGTCTGTTTTTACTTTCCCGTGTGTAGACATCCCCGCCACCCTGGGTCCGCAGGCCGGGCGTTCCTGGGCGAAGGCTCGGTGATGGGCTGAGCAGGTTCCCTCTCGCGGCCCGGCGCGCAGTCCGCTGCGGTTGAGCCGGGCTCAGTGCGGACGCTTGTTCGTGGTCATGCGTCCTCGGGCAGGTGTGTCTGGGATGGAGCCCCCACAGTGGGCTTGCTGGGTCAAAGGTAGATACCTCTCATTTTGGTGGCTGTTGCCAGATTTCCCCTCCACGAGAGCCATGCCCGTCAGCAACAATAGGGAGGCCCGTTTCCCCGCGGCCTCACCAGTGCTGGCCTGAACTTTTGGATTCCTGCCGGTGCTCTGTAGGTGAGCAGTGCCTTTTGTTTCCAAACAGAACAGCACTGCATTTATTTTAATCCTCTTACTCACCATGAAGGACGAGCTAAGTGGAACTCAGCCTGGTCTCCTTCCCCCGGAGCAGCATGCGCTTTGCTCCTGCTGCACCCTCCACCAGGAACACTTCCTCCTCACTTTGAGAGTTTTCATCCTCCTTCGAGGTTGCCAGATGCCATCCCTCCTGAGAAACTTTTCCTGATTCTGCTTTGCACCCCTTACCCAGACGTTTCCTCCTCCTCCTCCGCTTTCCCTGTGGCTTAACTACAGCTGGTTGGTGCTGTTGCCAGCTGTATAGCTGTCACGTTGCCCAGAGTCAGGCAGGCCCCCAGGGTTGGACCCATCTGGTTTTGAATTCCAGCTTTGCCACTTACTGTCTGCAGACTTTGGTCAGATTTCTCACCTCTCTGAGCCTCAGTTTCCTACCTGCAAAGTGGGAACAACGCTTCCCGCTTATAAGACTGTAGAAAAGAGCAGGAAGAGAACCCACAGAAAGTGTGCAGAGGCAGGCAGACATTTACTCAATATTGGCTCCCTGACAGCATCCACCTGTTTGTTTTCTCCAGTGTCTTCCGCAGTAAATAAAGGTATCACATCTGTTCTTTAAAAAACAAAACTGTGTAAAGCAAATGGTAACTTAATTCAAAAGTATTTGCGCACCTGTTGTGTTCCAGGCATTGGTCTCAGAACTGAGGATTCAGAGTGGAGAGAGACCTTTGAAGCCTGCACTCAGCTGTGGTGACCCACAATTAGCAGAAGCGAATATTGATACATCTATTTTGTATCATCTCTGAAATCCTGTAGCCCCATCTTTTCTATTAATTGCTTCAAAAGTTATTCATTTTTTCTATATTGCACTTTTAAGTTTCTTGGCAGCTGGAATGATGACTGCTCTTTTGAGAAACTGACTTCCTTGGAGCCTCGCATGATGCACGAAACCCAAACCGAAATCAGTTCACATCTCCTGTCTGCTTACGTCCCTCTGCAGCTCCTTGTGGCCTTCAGGTGCCCTCCAGACTCCTGTGTGGCCTGGCACTGCCTTCCTTTCCAGCCTCGTCTATTGCCTGGTGGTTTATATACCCCTGAGCCCCCAACACGTCCCAGCTATTCTGGACCTTGACCTTATAGAATGCTCCGTGGTCTCTCAGCTCTGCTTTCTTGTGTGTGCTGTTCCATTTGCCTGGAATAGTTTCCTTGCCTCCCTCACCTGTCCATCATTCTTTTGGTCTTTGTTAGATGCAGCTTCCTTCAGGAAGCCATCCTCCATCTCCCCCTCCCTTCTCTTCAGACTGCACTGAAATTGCTGGTTTACTGTCTGGATCTCCCGCGCTGCTTGTTCCCCAGGGAGGAGGGCCATCCCTGTCACCGGCAGTGAGTGCGGGACACCCTGACGGGTGGTGGGAGTGTGGAAAGGGCCGTGGACACGTGTTCTCGTGTGTTTTCATTCAGTCCAGCCCCGATGGAACCTGTTTTTCCTTTTGTGGGAATCCAGTTTCCCTTTGCTGCTCCCTGAGACAGGCAGCATGTTTTGCTTCTGGCCCCGTGACTGGCCCGTTGACCCAGGAGAGATCACTCACGCTTCTGGAGCATTTATGAAATGACGTTCTGGGGCTGCAGGGTTGCTTAACTTTTGTGGGCTCTGTCGACATTGTTCCATGGGATTGGCACCCTTGGGGTTGCAGTGTGCTGTGTTGCTTCAGATACTCCTCGCGGATTTGAGCTTCCATACCCCTGCCTTTCTCATCCAGCTTTTTCTTGGGAAGAGCAGTGCCTGGTAAAACCACAGAGGGATGGGAGCCACGTGTGCACACCGGTGCTGCGTGCGTTTGTGTGTTGTTGATCCTTGGTCCAGCCAGTAGAGGGCAGCAGAGCAGTCCGCCTAATGTCCACCATTTCATTATTTTAATAATCTGTCCTGAGGATACCTTTTCATTTATTCCCCACGTACTTGCTCTCAAAAGATGGTTGTTTTTCTGGGAGATTCATGTTGCAGCCACTGGGCAAAGAGAATAAATTTCCTTATGTCGTGTTAGTGTAAAAGTAGTGGGATTACACCATTTCCTCACCTTGAATGGACACAGTCTGCACCAGAACTTTTTTTTTTTTTTTGCAGGGGTTGGAGGGGAGTAATGAGGTATTTATTTATAGGAAGGTACTGGGGATTGAACTCAGCACCTGCTGCATGGTAAACATGTGGTCTACCACTGAGTTATACCCTCCCCCTAACCAGAACTTTTAGCCAGGCCATTCTCTTGGATGAACCCACATTTGTGACTGAAACTCAGCTTGCCGAGTAAACGATGACCTCACCCAGACAGCGCTGTCGCCAGTGTCCGCCCTGTCTGCTGCAGGGGTGGACGCTCCAGGCTGCTGTGTCTGTCTGAAATCCCAGCAGTGTCATGACAGCATCTTGTGCAAAATGGTGATGGTGAATGACAACGGTTTCCTCTGTTGTTCACCAGCCTTACCTGGAAGGACGTTTAGTTACCAGCTCGTGGTAGTTAAGGAAAAATAAAGTTCTTAAACTCAGAGGGCTTTGGCAGTTTAACTTCAAGGATTGTGTGTAGGAAGATAAGATCTGTATGTGGGAAGAACTTGGGGGAACAGTTCGGGTACCACTTTAAGGACTTGAAATGTTTCTTTGGGAGGGACCCCTGGATAAGAACAACACTGTAAAAGTCAAAGATGAGGAGGAACCCCAGGTTCCCTTGCTCATAGGCTCCCCGCAAAATCTCTATAATCTCCTAACTAAAAACTCTGAATAGTGGAAGATCTAATATATGAGATGTGCAAAAGACAGGTGACATTTTCCTTTTGGAAATCTTTCCTTCTCTTAAAATGTTTTTCAGAACTGTTAGTCTGTTTCCAGGGAAGCCCTAGCTGGGAATTTTCCTTACATCCAGCTACTGCTTATAAAATGAAAACAATCCTGATGCTACATTTTATTTGTTCTCCCCTGTCAGCCAGCCCCTCATTACATTGCTAGTTTAAACCTGTCTTGGGTTCACTCCTCAGAGAGTCCTGTGTATCTCCATGGCGAAAAGTCTGTGGACCTGGGCACACAGAGTTCGAGAACGCATGGCGTAATTTCTAAATCTAAGTGTCTCTTCCTTGTTCCCTCCTTTTTGGAGAAGAGTTACTCTGTGTTTTGTATACATGTTGGAGCATTTCAGTTTACCCGTAGGAATGCCAGGATTCTGTGCAACTTGGCTGTTTCTACATTACAGGTAGGGTTTTCTTCTTCAGGACTTACTGACCCAAGGGGAGAAACATAGTAAACTGTTAAAAAGGCATTTTTAAGAAAAATTTATCCAAAACCTAAAAATAAGGCAAAAGGAGATTACTGAGTGCCCTTGCAGTATCCTACTAAGACGTTGTCTAACCAGCCTCCCAAAGCTCATGTGATGTTCTAGGGCAGAAGTCAGCAATTTTTTCCTGTCAAGGGCCACATAGTAAATATCTTACGCTTTGCGGGCTGTTTGGTCTCTGTGGTGACCACTGAACTCTGCTGTAACGTGAATGCAACCATGAACGATGCATAAACAAATGCATTCAGCTGTGTCCCAATAAAACTTTATTTATGGGCATTGACATTGAAATTTGATGTGTCATAAAATATTTTTCTCTTGATTTTTTTTTCAACCATTTAAAAATATAAAAGTCATTTTTCACCCACAGGCCCTGTGGAAGCAGGCTGATATTAGTAAGTTGCAAATGATTTTTGTCCAGTTAAGACGAGAATGATTTCTCCCAAGTAGAAAAGGGCTATCAAGGGTGGGACATTAACGCGTTTTGTATCAAAGTTTCCAATCTATTCCAGCGTTCATTTTTTTCCCATGGATTTTTTTCCTCCGCTTAGGTTTTTGTGCCCTCCTTTGGGTGCTGAAAATTTTGTAGCAAGGATAGACTCAAATTCCTTTTGGTAGAATTAAGAGTGGTCACTAATTCCTCATTTCCCCTTAAATAAGAATAGCGTAGTCTGTATTCAGAATCTAGATTTACGGGTTTGACTTCTTCTATAAAGGATAAAATAACCATATATAATAAAATAACGTATGAAAGATAAAAATGACCTCTTTCAAGTGAACTCTCTACTTGGAACCAATAGTGGTGGAAAAGTACAAAAATGGAACTGTGTGCCTTTATTTGCTGTTCAGTCTCCCAGGCCAAGTACCTTTAACCGGACCTTTCTGTTCCCTACACCTTAGGGCCCCTTCTCTGTTCGAAGCTAGTTTTAAGTCCGAGAGCAGAGATTTCCTGGGCTAAGAGAGGAGGAGATGAACTGAGCTTCAGAAAGGCAGGTTGGCATCCTGACGAGCTGGAACGTTGGTGAGAGAGATGGAAGTAGACGCCAAGGACTCAGAGGCCCTTTGGATAAAAGTGCACGTGTGGGTGCTTGAGGTTCCCTGGGTATTTCAAGCCCAGAGAAGAGGTTATAGCCGATCTCAAAAGGCACCGGCACTTAACCTTTCGGGGAGATCGGGGTCTGTTGAGAACCAGGGAAAGCTAAGCTTCTCTGTCCCCTCATAAAGGTGTGCACAAGCACACACACACACCAAGTTTTGCCTGAAACCTCAGGCTCTTTTGAGTCCCTGGGGAGAAGGAGATGGACTCGCTAAAATGTGAACAAAGGGACCAGGGCGTTTGGTGTAGAGACTTGTTGTCTTTGAAGAAGGACCTGGTCTCAAGTTGTAATACCCAAGTGGCCCTGTTAAACTATTAATTTTCTTTCTCTAACCCTGAACCCTTACAGACAACCACACGCCCAAATGGCCCACGCTCTCCTTTTCTCAACAAATTGTTCTTAGTCACCATTCCATGAACTCTCAGCCAAATATCCCAATTGCAGAAGTCCAGAATCCAAAGTAAATACATTTAGATTGTAAATAAGTAATTTTTTTTTAAAAGAAAAGTCTTCGTTGTCTTATTGTAAGTTGCTGGTAGTCACTGCTTGCTGGGAAGTGGAGGCCTTTTGTGGCAAGATTTCTCGACATTCTCCTGAGAGTAGTTGTGTTAACATGTTAAACAAAGATTAATCTTTGCCAGGGACTCATTTAATGCATGCCTAAATCTTCAAGGCCCTTATAGTATCCACGAGAAATTTCTAGCATTTTTGAGAACTGATGCATCAAGACTTCTGATTTTAGCGCCTTCTTAATGTGGTGACAGAGTCAAAACATGATTGGATTCCGGGACTTTTTTTTTAAGTCTTATGCTTGCAAACACTTACAGTAACTCAGGTTACTTATCTTCAGATTTGAGGCAGAAAATAATATTTCGTTCTTAATGCTTTTTCTTCCCTGTGTGATATATTTCTGAAACTTTCTGGCTTGGTTACATGTTGATGGCAACGGATCTATACTTAGCTTTCTTTATCCCCCAACTTTAATTTTAAAAAACTTCAAGTCTATTGGAAAGCTGAAAGAACGATTCAGACTCCCTGAATTTTGTAGACTTCCTTCATTTAAAGTTTCTTTTTTTAAAAATTTATTTATTTATTTTGGGGGTGGAGGTAATTAGGTTTATTTATTTACTTTGATGGAGGTACTGGGGATTGAACTCAAGACCTCATGCATGCTAAGTGTGCACTCCACCACTAAGCTATACCCTCCCTCCTTAAATTTTCTAATTAACGTTGTCACACTTTATTGCCCTGTGTAACTCTGTATATTTATTTTATTTTTTGTTCAATCACTATGAAGTCCTAAAGACTTCAGTATGTATCTCCGAAGAACAGAGATACTCTCATACAACTGCAAGACTTTTTTTTTCTTTAAATAGATTTATTTTATCTGTATTTTGAAGAGGGGGAGGTAATTAGGTTTATTTATTTACTTATTTTTTAGTGGAGGGACTGGGGATTGAACCCAGGACCTCGTGCATGCTAAGCACACACTCTACCACTGAACTATACCTGCCCCACACAATAGCAAGACTTTTCATCCCACTGAAGAAATTTCACATCACTTCAATACTATATAGTTCATGCAGCCCATATTCAAATTCCCAAAATGTCCTTTAATGTCCCAACAATGTCCTCTCCCTCCACCTTCTGTTCAAGGATCAGGTCAGGACTGACAAACTGCATTTGGTTTCCATGTCTCTTAGTCACCTTTAACCGATGAGTGTCCTCAGCCTTTTCTTGTTTTCGGACACTGACATTTTAGGAGTCCAGGCCATTTTCTTCTGGAATGTTCCACAGCCCGGGTGTCTGTTTCCTCACGATGAGGTTCAGATTAGACAGCCTGGGCAGGAACACAAGCTGGTTGGTGCTGCGTTATTTCTGAGCATGTCACATCCGGAGGCCCGTGATAATGGCTTGTTTCCACGGCAGGGATGCCAAGTTCTGTCGCTTGGTTACAGGGGTATCT